CCAAGCCATATCTCCTACCCCGCAATCACTCATGTGATAAATACTTCCGTGGCTTCAGGAACCTTCCCGACCACTCTCAAAAGGGCTTGGTTCACACTCTTGCTCAAAAAGCCCTCACTTGACCCAACTCAAGTTGAGAACTATCAGCCAGTGTCTCTTCTACCATTTTTATCCAAAACTATTGAACGTGCAGTATTCAAACAGGTCTCAGAATTCCTCTCATGGAATGACCTCCTAGATCCATATCAGTCTGGTTTTAAGAGTGCCCACTCTACTGAAACGGCTCTTCTGTCTGTAACAGAAGCCCTAAGGTCAGCTAAAGCTGCAGCCCAATCCTCGGTTTTTATCCTGCTTGAACTATCAGCTGCCTTTGACACAGTCAACCACAGGATCCTGCTATCTGCTCTCTCAGCAATGGGCATATCGAGTAAAGCACTCCTGTGTTTCGAATCCTACCTCTTTTGTGGCAAGGACAATTATCCTCCTCCCACAGGGGTGCTAGGACCCCTTCTCTTCTCAATTTACACCACCTCACTGGGGCCGATCATTCGCTCGCACGGCTTCTCTTACCACTGCTACGCAGACGATACGCAACTCTACCCATCCTTCCTGCCAGACGATCCCACCGTCTCGGCATGGATCACGGACTGTCTCTCGGACATATCTCCATGGATAAGGGCTTGCCACCTTCAACTAAACCTCTCTAAGACTGAACTCTTGGTCATTCCAGCCAAGCAATCTATCCACCATAACATCAAACTACAAACTGATTCCTCAACAATCACTCCAACCAAGCGGGTGAGAAACTTGGGTGTCATGATTGATGCCCAGCTGTCCTTTTCAGACCATGTTGCTGCTGTCTCTCGGTCATGCCGCTTTGCTATATACAACATAAGGAAAATCAGGCCCTGCCTCACTCAGTACGCCACCCGGCTTCTGGTACAGGCCATGGTTATCTCTCACCTCGACTATTGCAATGCCCTCCTAGCAGGTCTCCCAGCTTGTGCGGTGAAACCCTTACAAATGGTTCAGAACGCAGCGGCACGTCTGGTTTTTGGTCAGCCCAAAAGGACTCATGTCACTCCATTACTCAGTGACCTCCACTGGCTCCCCGTGGCCTCCAGAATCAGATTCAAGTCACTAATGCTGCATACAGAGTGACTACTGGGTCTGCACCATCTACCTAAACTCCATAATACAAACTTACGTTACTTCTCGGCCGCTACGCTCCTCCAACGAACGCCGCCTGGCTCTGCCATCCCTTCACACAAAGCAATCCCAGTCCCTGTTCTCATCTGTGACACCACGATGGTGGAACGAGCTGCAACACGCCATCAGAGCAGGGGCGTCCCTCTCTAACTTCATGAAGCTCTTGAAAACTCATCTCTTCCGAGAACACTTCCTCTTTTAACACCTCTAACTCCTAACCTCTAACATGCACTTCCTGTGCTCTTCTTCTTCTACCCCCTTACAATTATCTTGTATTGATTGCACTTTTTTGTTAACTCTTACTTCCTTCCCTAGGTATTTACCCCATTGATGTGATATGTACTATGAGCTCATACTAGTATTTATTGCTGCTCTTACTAGTATGTATTGTCAGTTGTAGATCTGTAGTTGATGCTCTGTTAATTCTTGTATGTTGTTCCTCAAATGTAAGTCGCTTTGGATAAAAATGTCTGCCAAATGAGTAAATGTAAATGTAAACTGATAGAGCAAGAATGATAGTGCTAGAGACTGATGTAATGAATTTCTTGGGACCCCTGGGTAGTAGGATTAGTGTAGTTTGCTCTTAGGGTTTTCTGTATGTAGGTTAAAAATTGTTCTGTAGATTGCATGTGCTTCATTTATTTGTAGTGTTTATTTAGACAATGTGTACTTCAAATATATATATATATATATGTGCTTAGTGTTCGGACTCCCATGTATAAGCTTCAGATAGCTTAAAAACGGTTTCCCTTTTCACAAATCTGCAGTATTTCTAATGATTGTACTTGTATGTTAATGTTTTGTGAGAAAACTAAAGTGGACTAACCTAAACTGAACTGAGCCTGGCATCATGCAGTGACAAAGACTAAAATGAACGCTGAAACTAATGAAAACTAAACTAAACCTGTTAATACATGTTAAATATTAATTAAAAGTAAACTGAAATTAAAAACTAAAAGTCAAAACGAAAAAGAAAAAAAGAAAAATAATGAAAAATCCAAAACTATAATAATAACCTTGCTTTAGACAGAGGGACACATTTAGGGTGCTTTCACAACTGTAGTTCAGTTCATTTGGTCCGTACCAAGCGGGAAGCTTCCGGTCAGCGATCTGATGCGCAAGTCCCTTAAACCTGCATTCTATTGAATGGCCAGCAGGGGGCGACTCTTCTGGTTGCAAAAAGAAGTCCGGCTCCATTAGAAATGATGGCAAAATGACCCTACTTCTCACCTGAATAACTACCTCAGTAAACACTTTCCTAATGAGTTTATCGTCTCAGTCGCTATTTTCATCTCTTCTTCAACCGTCTCGTCCAAATATGATCACGTCCAGTGCCGCTGGTTGCAAAAACTCAACATGGCGGCACAGTATCGGACGAACTCGATGCTTCAAAATGGCTGTCCCCAAACAGGTGACATCGCGATGACTACGTCCACTTTTTATATACAGTCTATGTCCCTGACCAAGAGAAAAAAAAAGATACACATTTGCATTTTAGTTCTGGTATGGTTCATGTTCACACTGCAAACTAACCATGAGAAGTAACCATAACGTTTTACAGACTTACAGGTAAGTTGTTGATAATACAGCTAATTTGAATTGAATTGAATTGAATTGAAGTTTAATTTTAGACCGCAGATCGACCACATTGTCTATTATGAAAAATAACAGGACATTTACAGTAATAATTCAGGGCTTATTAGCCTATACTATGGGCCCTATAGTATACTGTGGGATCGCTGTCAAAAGTATTTCATGGACTTAATGAAATGACAGGGTAAACAGAGTAGGCTTCTACTGGCCCTCCTTTTTAAACAGACTTTGACCCATTAATCAGGGAAAATACCTTTTTTTTTTTACCTAAAATTTTAGCTTCTTTGCATTGGCTTCCAGTAAAATCCAGAATAGAATTTAAAAACATTCTTCTTACCTACAAAGCTCTTAATGGTCAGGCACCATCTTATCTTAAGGAGCTCATAGTACCTTACTACCCCACCAGAGCACTGCGCTCCCAGAATGCAGGGTTACTTGTGGTTCCTAGAGTCTCCAAAAGTAGACTAGGAGCCAGAGCGTTCAGCTATCAAGCTCCTCTCCTGTGGAACCAGGTTCCAGTTTGGGTTCAGGAGGCAGACACCATCTCCACATTTAAGAGTAGGCTTAAGACTTTCCTCTATGATAAAGCTTATAGTTAGGGCTGGCTCAGGTGAGTCCTGAACCATCCCTTAGTTATGCTGCTATAGGCCTAGACTGCCGGGGGATTTCCCATGATGCACTGAGCTCCTCTCTCCTCTACTTTCTCTCCCTCTGTATGCAACCTCATCCCATTATTGCATGTTACTAACACAACGTCTCCCCTTTCTGGTAGTCTTGTGCTTTCTCGTCCCTCTCCTCTCTCCTCCTATCACTTCCTGCAGGTTTTCTGGCTCTGGAGCTGTGGAGTCTGGATCTGTGGTTGCGGGTCACCTGCTGCCCCCGTGTTCCTGCTCGACACCCTCTGCTGCAACGACTACTGTTGCTAGTCTTATTGTTATTATTGTTATTATAATCATTAACATTACGATTGTTACCATTAACACTATTATAAATATCTGTACCATTTTTCATTTAGTCTATAGCAACATCACCTTCACTGTCTGTACCTCTGTGTGTATATTGTGTAGGCTGCCTCCCTCCCCTCTCTCTCTCCTTACATCCCTCTCTTTTTCTCTCTCTCCCTCTCTCCCCCTCCCTCCCTCCCTCTCTCTCTCCTTCACCCCAACCGGTGAAGGCAGATGGCCGCCCACCCTGAGCCATGGTTCTGCTCGAGGTTTCTGCCTCTTAAAAGGAAGTTTTTCCTTGCCTCTGTCGCCTAGTGCTGCTCTTGGTGGGAGCTGTTGGGCTTCTGTAAATATCATCACAGAGTACGGTCTAGACCTGCTCTTTTATGAAAAGCGCTGTGAGATAACTGTTGTTGTGATTTGGCGCTATATAAATAAAATTGAATTGAATTGAAAATTGAATTGAATACCTGCGCTGACAAGTATATGTTACCAAATGATTTTCATAAACATAGCATGGCTTATACAGATCAATTATAACTTATAATTGATCTTATTATAAGATCGCTGAACACATTTCGCGGTCAGCAGATGGATTTATTAGTGGTTTAACTTTGGAAATAATGCTCATATCACATCTTTGCTATCATAAAATCCTGTGGTGGGTTGTTTGCTTTCACACCACAAGCTAACCACACCAGAGTTTGTTTGAAAGCGTACCGAGACCACCTCTTCAAGGAGGTCTCGGTCCGCTTTCGATTGCTGCATTCACATCTGCCCAAACAATGAAGGAATGTATTTTTGCTTATAAAATGTCAAAACTACAATGTAACTACAGCCACTATGTTGTTGGGTGCAGTATTTCAATATTACCATTTGAAATTTATCACAAAATAAAGTCCAGAGTATTTGCGTGAATGTATTTATTGTCACCTTTAACAATTAGTGTCTGCTACCAACCATACAACCCTGTTCAAAGATTACTTGAAAAAAAATTGCTGTATGTCCCCCCCCACATGTGCTAATTAACATTCCTAGACTACGTTGTTCTGATGCACCTTCTCTGTACCTACAGGATGTTGTTGACAAAAGGATATCCATTTTTTTTCTCTGCAGGTATCATAAGTTAAACATCCTGTTGTCATCAAGTGCAGGTGATTCTATTCACTGCCAACCTTAGCCCACAGTTTTCAAAAAAAAAAAATGAATGGATATATGAGACAATGAAGCGCCTTAACATGTTGCGGCAGCTGGAACAAGCCCCACTAGCCTGCAGGTGAAGGTATCCCTGCACAATAAAACGAAGTATGGAGTCTGTTGAAAGGAAAGTTTCATCACTGACTAATGCCTCTGTTGTTAGGAAGTTCCTGTCTGCAGTGAGCCTGTCTGGCATGCCTGTAGTATTATGTCAGAAACACAGCCTTGTAAACAATTTTCATTGAACTATTTATTTCAGACAGTGACAAAAAATATAAAAAGAACTTTGACTGTTCTGTTACAAAAATAAATTACATACTATTCACTCTGAAAAACCCATAAAACTTTACCCACATATTGTACATTACATTCACGATATAGGCAATCTAATCATCACTCTACTATACAAATCTAACTTCACATTTCATACTTTTATGAATCAGGGTAATGTTATCATTTACATTCAAAGTCTGTTGAGTCTTTGAATTACGCAATAGATTATTGCTTGCTATTATTTTTACATTAAGATGGAAAAACTACCTGCCATCTGTGACATTATAAACCAAAACTATGACCTATCAAGGCACTTCTGTCCAACACAAAGCAGACCTCCTGGACTGGCCAACTGTTGCATATTATTACAAGACACAGTGCCTTTATTGCCACCAGAACCTCCATTAGAATAACGTACTGTGTACCAGTTGATTACATTGTTGGAGGGCCACAGTGGCTCGATGTGCATCTCTGACAGCAGTTTCGCACCAAATGTGTAAATTAATTAATTAACATAATGTATCTTGTTTGTTTTGCTCACTAATCGCGTCTGGCAACCTGCGCTATAGCCAGTGAGATGCTACAGAAAATAGATAAAGTGTTGTTCATGAAGAATCTCTGTTTGTGTACAGATTAAACAAACAAGATGAATAATGTGTTAGTGAGCTTTGGAGGTGTTGGTATTTATTAACATTGGACAGGACTAGTCTAGTGGATTTCCCCGCTTCCGTTCTTTATGCTAAACTAGACTAACCACATCGTGACTTCAGGTTTGTGCTGGTCTCAATCTATCAAAGAAAGAAAATAAGCGTATTTCCCAAAATGTTCAACATTTCCTTTAAAGGTTAACTTTAATTTTCCAGCTGGACCTTACTTTCATAAAAAACACAGAAATAGGCTATAGGTTGAAAAATATTGTTACCCTTTAATTATGCTGCACTTTGGGCAACATACTAATCTTAAAACAGTTTTTTTTGTCACAAAGATCTAAAAGTCAGACTGCCCCCCGACAGTCTCGTCAGGGCGTCCAGCCTTCTTCTGATTTTTCCTTTGTGTACTGCTGTGGACGGACGTGTCCTTGTGTCCTGAGTCATTCTGCTGTCTGGAGTAGCGCTTACACTTGCAGGAGGTCACCACAGTAATCTTGTAGGTCCTGGAGGTGCCGTCCTGGCACTGCAGCTGGATCCGCTGGGTCCTGGTCCGGTCGATGACACAGCGCCACTCCTGGGCATCGCGTCGGCTCCAGTATCTCCCAGTGTAACCCCCGATCCAGTTGGGAAGCAGGTGGGCTGGTAGACATTCTCCAGCACACACTAGCTCCTTAATGGGGGTGACGCTGGTGCACTGGCCATCAGAGATGTACTTTGTGGATCTCAGCTCCCTGCAGCCCACCTGGCTCTGGTCTGGGCCTGAGACATGAAAAGTGAATTACATGTAGGCTACATATACTCTGTTTATACTGCTACTGTACAGATCTACTTCTGAGAAAATGTATCAGCTATGGGTTAGGTGCCATTCTTTAACTTCTTTAAAAACTTATCTGGCAAGTCACAAAACTGTTGATTCTAAACCTTAGTAAAATGTTCACTTACAACATATTCTGGCAAGATATTTGCCTATACTGACTAGTCCTGCATCCTGCTTTGTACGCCCACCACCTGCCCCGACCACCTCGCTGCAGCTCCGGTGCAGTGCATAAATGTAGCTCTTCATTCACTCAAAAATATGTTGCCTGCAAGTATACTGCAATACAGCCACTGATTACGTTTATTAATTACATGTTAGAGAAAACAATTGGTTACACTTTACAATGAGAGACTACCAAATTTTGGAGTTATTGCCAAGGAACAAATGAGGAACTAACTGCTAACTGTGCTTTTAGTTAATGAGTAACTCCTAATCAAATTGTAACCCTAGCTAACGATTAGTTAATGATAAGTTAAAGGATTTCTATGGTATTTTTCCACCTAGCCCCCATTTTCTCATGTTTTTGTGTCTATGTGACTAATTGGGACAACATTTTTCCAGTCAAACAGGACTACAACGTTATCCTTACTGTGTCAAAGTACGTCCACTAAAGTGCCACTGACTGGCTCAGATTGTTTAGATTAGAAGTGGCTGACAACAGTATGGAAAGGATCCCTACAGAGACAGACTTTTTTAAAGAATAAGATCCTTTTTGTTTTTACCTGCAACAGTTCAAAGCCACCAGACTTCATTAACAAAACCAGTTTATCTGTGTACTGCTGCTGACTGCAGCGCGCTCGGTTCGTACTGGACCAGTTTTAAAGAAATGTTGTCCCCATTAGTCACACAGACACAAAAACCTGGGAAAATAGTGAAATAGTGAATAGAAAAAGTGACCCTTTAATTAAGAAACACGTGAGGAACAAATTGGAAAATACTTGATAACTGGTGAATGGTTAATAAGTACTTCTCTAATAATTCCTGTTGGAGGACTATATTAATTATATAGTGATTCATTAAAGCTGCAGTAGGCAACAATTGCAAAACCTTCCGCATCGCAATATGCTACTCTGCTAAACCCCTCCCAGCAAACCCACAAGAAGGAGCTCATCCTGCGTAGGGCTCAAAGACGCCCCTCTGATTCGTGGTGGCCCGGGGCAGAGAACCCCAGGCTTCAGAAGCAGCTAAGTCAAACTTCTAACAGCAGGATGAGAGGCTAGTACTCCTCTGCCCCCCCAAAAGTTATTCCCCACTGTTTGTCGTTATGCCTTTTTGCCACTTGTTGATACGAGCGTCCTGGCATCGAACACCACCACTGTACCACACTGTTGTCTGCAAAGGAGGGATGGGCAGTTCTTTCACTGCTGCTGGTTTTTTCTCAGACATTGTGTTTGCAAAACCTCTGAAGCAGCGCTGACTGACTGTGTTAGAGACTCCTCCTGGCTCTAATTGGATGTGTTGACTAGGGCGCGGTGAATTAGAATCCACAAATGCAAATTGCACAAGGAGCAGAATATAGTGGATATAGTGGCAGTGAGCAAATTTGACAAAAAGTTATTTTTATATAAGTTTCCTACTGAACCTTAAATTTAGGATCTCTTAGTCTATTCTCTAGTAGCTCATCATTTTCTATTCTATAGTCCTTCATTTGGACTTACACTTGTTTCTTAATTAACTATTCATTCACTAATTATTAGCTACTCTATAATATTTGATTTAGAGTAACTCATTAACTAATTGTTCACTAGCAGTTAGTTCCTCATTCGTTTCCTAATAACTACTCAAAAAATTGTAAAGTGCTACCAAACAATGGTAATGGTAAACAAAGGTTATTTCTAGGAGACATGGTTGAAATAATCACAATTTTTATTGTCAACTCTGATATTGCTGACCCATTTGTATTGTCTGCCATGACTGAGGTCTTTTAGCCAGGTCCTGGTGGAATCAGAGCGGGGAGTGACTGTCTTGAAATGCTGTTTGTTGTCACTGTATGATTGTATTGATGTTTTACTGTTTCTTTTTGGTTTGTGTTGTGTTTTGGGAATTCCTGTTTTGCTGCTGTTTCTGTCTTTATAGTGTTATCTTTTTGATGTCCCCGTTCCATACATTTTTATCATTTTTTAGGTTTAAAACATCTTGCCAAAGGACTGCAGTTGAAAATTAGCCAGCTGCCTATCACTGGCACATTTACCATAATGCTGATTAATGTGTGTTGTCGTTGCTGTCCATGAAATGAAATGAAATTTGTTCTATTCATTTTATTCTAAATGTTTGCTTTATTTAAATTGGGTATTTTCATTTGCACATAATGCATTTTGTTTACTGGGCAGCACAATAGGCACCTCAGGATTTATATACTGTAGGTAGGCAGGTAAAGGACTGCATTCACCTGGGAGGGCAGGAGCTGGGATTTGCTTGGTTGCTAAGGATAAATAATAATAAAACCACAAAAATCTCTGTATAAACAATGGACGTTTCCCTCTGGTGCACAAGGGGACAATACGATATATTTTTAAAATTCTTTCTTCATCCCGAAGTTCCAATACATAGTCTTGCCTTTAAGCGAATGTCCCCTTGTTTACTTGTTTGACTTTTGATTAAATCACAGTGATAATGCACCTTACAGGAGCACTGATGGGGACACTTGCTAATGGATTAAGTCATTTTTATTTCTAAAATCAAGGAGATCCAACTTCCCTTTAGGGTATTTGAAAATGCACCTGTTCCACCTGCCTCATGCAACACTACAGTAAGAGAGAACAGTGTCACCTATTCAGTGTCATCAGTCATCCAGACATCAGTTTGAAACAATATGTGCCAAGCAAAGTTATGGAAATGTACTGTCACGGCGTCGTTTGGACTCACCATTACGCACCGCGTCAGCCAGCCGTCTCCCGCCGTTCCTCGCTTGGTTTGTGTCCTCGTTAGCTGGCTCGTCTTCAGTGTGGTGGACCGGCTGAGTACTGACTGACTCTGTGGCGTCGTTGTGAACAGCTGAGTTGCTCCTGCTCAGCAGCAACAGGAGCGCCAGGAGCTGGAGTCCGCAGGCAAGACGAAGCATGACTGCACCTGACTGATGTGACACCTGATGAATGACCAACCTGCCGCGGCTGGGTTTATATATCCTCCACTGTAGTGACGCTTTATGAATGAACACGGAACACCCACCTGTACTGCAGCCTGCACCGAGCTCCAGTCACTCCTGCTGCTCCAAATCTCTAAGCAAGAAGTCTTCTCTGTGCGCAGTGATGCATTTTGAGTAAATTACAGCGGGTTCATTCTTTTTACCAATAAAATCGTAGAACATCCGTCGGTCATCTGCCATCATCCATTACCTGCCTCACGTTATTTACTTGTGACGAATATTTACTGCCTATGTATCAAAATTTATAGGCTATACGGATGCAGATGTGCATCACTGTAGGCAGACGTTACTGTCAGCTCCCGTTTTTCTTGAATAATAATAAAATAAATGCCCGTGATTCAAGTGAAAATCTTGATTACCACAACTTTTTGGAGGGTTTTACCAAAATATGATGACGTTTTCTTAGAATGTAGAGAAAAAGACACAAAAAGAAAGGATATAATATGAGAGAAAAGTACAAAAGCAGAAATCACACATTGAAATCCTTGTCAACAAAATGCCTCCACTTCTTTTCTCTTAGACATTTCTAAAAGATACCCATTTACCACTGGAGGGGATATTTTTCTGTTCTAGTCAACATCCTCTGTGAAATTGTTTCATATGCAGCAACATGTTATGTCTCTGTCATGGGTATCCCAGGTCCCAAAAGTAATTTGCAGTCCAATCATTAGGCTACTTCTGTCTGTGTCCAGTCCTTCAATGACTGAATAGCATACAGTCTCCACCAGTGTTGTGGACAGAATCTAAGCTGTTTGACATGTAACTGTGAATCTTCATCCACAATTGTTGGATTGCCACAGTACATGCACTAGTGTCCGCTCATCAACCCCAAGTTTCCAGCAGGCTTCAGAATCTTTCAGACTGGGTCTGTGTAACCTATGGGGGTCAGATTAAATGTCTCTCTGACTGCCTCTGATGCCTACACTGGTGCAGCTGGGACATTTGTGTGACTAATTTTTACAGGATTAAAAGAAGGTTATTTGTCTCCACCTAGTGGCTGAATATGTTTCAGTTTATAGAAAAGTATGGGTAATGCAGAGATACTTAAAGCTTTTGGATAGCCTCCACAGCTGTTTACCAAATATCTTGATTTTACCATCAAGATACTTTTGCTGAGGCACTTCTTCGAAATGCTTTAAATTAGTTAAGAAAGATGCCATAAGAAAAAAAAACAACTGTCAATGCACACTACTCAAAATAATTAAGGGAACACTTAAATCACACATCAGATCTCCATCCATCCATCCATCGTCAACCGTTTATCCTGCGTACAGGTTTGCAGGGGGGGCTGGAGCAAATCCCAGCTGGCATCGGGGAAAGGCTGGGTACCCCCTGGACAGATCTCCAATCCAACACAGGTCAGATCTCACAAGAGGACGTTGGGGCCTCATGGCACCCTCATAGAATCTGTTTCTGACAGTTTGGTCAGAAACATGCACACCAGCAGCCCACTGGAGGTCATTTTGTAGGGCTCTGGCAGTGCTCCTCCTGTTCCTCCTCGCACAAAGGAGCAGATACCGGTCCTGCTGCTGGGTTGATGTACTTCTACGGTCCTGTCCAGCTCTCATCGTGTAACTACCATCTCCTGGTATCTCCTCCACAATCTTGAGACTGTGCAGGGAGACACAGCAAATCTTCTTGCAATAGCACATATGGATGTGCCATCCTGGACGAGCTGGACTATCTGTGCAACCTGAATGTGCTACAGGTACCACCTCTGCTACCAGTAGTGACAAGGACGCTGGCATAATGCAAAATTAGAGAGCAATCATTGAGGCTTGTCTGTGGCCACCACCTGCTAAACCATTCCCTTTTGGGGGATTTAATCAAGTCAATTTTAATTTACTTGATTAAGTGTTCCCTTAATTTATTGTAGCAATGTAGATATGGATAAGATGGGCTAAGATGTCTACTTACAGTAGCTACATGTAACTCAGCAATCTTAGGCCACCAAATGTAACTAAAGTTAATGTCTGTGTGTTGCCTACATACAGTAGGAGCTGTCATTTGTTAATGTCCATCTTACTCTCCTTTGTTTTCAGTCTTGATCGTTTCTTCCTCGTTGGTATTTGGTTAACGGATTGTAAATGGCCTGCACTTATAGAGTTCTGGCCACAACAAACAGTAACTGAACAAATGTGATGAATGTGATTGAAAAATAGAGTGATACATTGTCAATTGATTTGATAAACCTTTTATTGTCTACATTTAGGCTATGGTCCGGTAGCAAATATTTCTGTGATTTGGGCACATTTTGTGGCATCCACCTGAAGATTTTTTGTTTTGGTCCGCAACTACTTCGCACCTCACTTGAGCTGATGATACACATAGCAACTTTTAGAGCAATCGTGCAGGGCAACGTTGCGGTCAATGGTAATGAGTAAAGATTACCACCCTTCCCCCACCACTCAGGAACCACCCCACCCGCCCATATCCGTTCAAAACACAGTCAGACTTGCCACCAGCAACATTGCCCAGCAACATTGAGAAAAAGGTGCCCCCATGTATCATCAGCTTTACACTTTGACAACTTGATCCATCCACAGATTTTTGGCTCTAAACCACAGCCAAGTTGAACATTGCCGCAGGTGAGTAAGGATTTTGTCTCACACTTTAAACGCCCATATAATTGCCTATAGTGAAATTAAACGCCTCTAATAAATCCTATTAGGAGGGCACATTCTTACAGAAAATCTAAAATAGAAATGTCACACATTGTGAGATTGAAGTTTTTGTTGGGGAGGTTGAAACAAGAAAGAAGATAAGATAGAAGTGGTCAAAACTCCGGAGAAAAGGGGAGCTTTATCTCGACCCCCTGGACTAGCGACTTGCAGGATAGGAATTCCTCCTCAGTAGTGACACATCACATCAACATGCTGGCCATATCATTTGGCTTTAATGCCTGGGGAGATGGCAATGAACATGTGATAACAATGTATGAAACTATGCCCTCATATTTACTCGACAGTTGCATCAAAATTAGCACCAAAAACATAATTTGTCCTAGTGTTTTTATTTATGAGAAGACAATTCATAGTGTGCAATTATTATTTATATAGGCTATCTAATTATTCCAGATTAAACTGTAAAACATATTTGAAGCTTTTCTTTTGCACAAATATATAATATATATTTGTTTTTGTCATCCTAAATCATAGTTCTTTTCTTGTGCACTCCAGGGAGTATCAGTCAAACAAGAGAGAATATTTAATTTTTAATAAATTATCTTATATCATGTTTTTATTGCCAACTTCAGGGAATATCAATCAAAAGGGTGTTTAATTATTCGTTTAAGAATGGCATTTATCTGTTTTAGCAAATGAAGTCATATAATATAGGCTAGTAAGGTTTATATAATAGGCTTCTCTGAGGTAGGCTAATATTTCCATTTCTTTTACAAGCAAGTATCCATTTCAAACAGTTACATCTCTCTGCCATCAGAGTCGCAGTTTCTCCTTTCTCCAGTTTATGTCCATAGCCTACGTGGCTCAGAGGTAGGCTGCCTGGAGGACCACACATTCTCTCGGGTCAGAGACATGCCCACTTCTGTGTCCGCATCAAATTCAATTTACTAAACTGATTTTTTAACATAGAAAACACATTAAATAAAACTACAGTAGATACTTTTACATACGTTTGTGAAAATTAAATGTCAAAATGTGATTCCCCTTTAACAAGCCGGGGAAACCGCCACCTCCCAGACGCTAGGGGCGCTGCGCTGTGTGGAGACTTCCTCAAGTTCCCCCCGGTACACGTCATGCAAACAGCAGCGTAAAGCTTCTGAGCATGCGCCTCCACAGCTCCTTCAAGATCTGCGGTCGGAAGAGCACCACTGAACGGTCTGTACTGTTTCTGCTCTGTTCAACCGTAACCTTACAAACTTCACAAATTTCGTGTTTGATGTTCTGGAGCTAGAGACATAAACATTACTGGCTAAACGTTACTTCTGTAAAGTAAACTGAGCGCTGTGCTTTAGCCTTAGTGTCGTTCTCTAACTGAAAGCTAACGTTAACGCTATGTGTCGGTAGGTCCACGTAACGTTAAGCGTCTGTCACAGTCAGTGTTCAGGTAAACTAAAGTGTAACGTTTCAACTATTCACTAATGCTCTCTATGTTTTCAACACAAGCTCTGCTGTATTATTTTAGTATATAAAGCTTAACGTTAGATGAAATATCTATAACGCTAGCTCCGTGTATAGCTAACAGTTAGCTATGAGCATAGTAAAAGTAACGTTAATGTCACCTTTTCCTTCAGAAGAGTAACGTTAACGTTCTGTTTTTTCCTCCATAGACATGTTTCCCAAAAAACTGCCTTCTGATTATGAAGTTTATTAAACTGTCTGCTAGTCCAGTCAAAGTCCACAGTAAGCCTTCGTCACTACATAGCCAAATGTACGTGGCCAGCGAACATCACAGACATATGGACGTGTCATTTCAAAGTCACGGGCATCTCTGTACAGGCTTACTGCAGGGTTTTGGACCCTGGCTGCCGTGACTGGGGGGTCCAAACACTTGTGACCTCAGTGTATGTGTCTTTATAACCCATCTCAACAGTTTTTCAGGTTCTAATTGGATCATTGCGGCTTGTTTTTTGCAGATGAGGAACATGCTGCATGTGTTTTTGCTCCTGGCTCTGCTTGGTCTGGGCTCCGGAGAAGAGGGGGCCCGCTTGCTGGCCTCTAAATCCCTGCTGAACCGCTATGCTGTGGAGGGCCGTGACCTCACCCTGCAGTACAACATCTACAATGTGGGCTCCAGGTCAGGACTGTACTGAGTGTGATGCTGTGAGGGACACAAACCTCTGTGTCAGAAATGTTGGTTTGTGAGCTGTGAAGTCTTTTTATTAAGATTATTGTAACTTGATAGGATGCAGTTTTTAAATCTACATGATTCTGAGTTACAAGTTTGTACAAATTCAGCATTATAACCTGATAACTACACAAACAGTATGCTAATGATTCATGCAATAGTATTAGTGTATGTGAAGTTTATCTCCAGTGTAGTTTTCAGGGACGTCCCGATCACGTGTTTTTTTGCCCCCGATTCGAGTCATTTAATTATGAGTGTCCGCTGATTCCA